GCCTTTTGCTTTAAAAGTCCTTACTTGTTTTAATCTTATCTGAGATGAGATGCCATATAACTTAATCCTCATCTAAGCAATTGCAGTGGGCATGCTTAAGTGAAGTGAGACACATATAGTGAGAGACTTGTCAAGCTGGTGCTGCATTTTGAAATTTCGCTCACAAAGGAATGCTTTAAATAGTCAATCAAAACACAATGTTGAAATTAACAGCTAGTGACTAATAGCAGGTCTACAGAGGATAGCCATCTTTTAAGGCTGCTRGGAAATTTGATTAMTTGAGCAGAAAATCAGAATKACCAATTTAAGAGTTAACATTGAGYACACAACTTCTTAACTGCCAAATGGGTAATTTTGCCAAGAAATATATTACATTTTCTAACATATAACAATATTAGCAAGACACCTAACCTAGAACAACTGATAAGAAACCACAAAGAGAAACAAGTTAACAAATTTAGTTGAATACCTTAGCACATGATGCCAAAGATTATTGGAGATAATGTTCATTCCCAGGACACTGAGACAATACATTTCATCAAACATTCACAATCAGATCTAATGAGTATGCTGGSAGAATATAAACTTTTGAAGATTGTAATGTGCAAGCAAAGGAATAATACCTCTTCTACAGCCTTTTCGAAACATTGAAATGCTTGCTCAAACTGAATCTTAGCCTCATCATGGTCCGGGGTTAGAAAAGCGTTAGCAGTGTGGGCATTCTCTAAGCACCACAGAGCCTCATGTTTTGCAGGATTGATAGCCAATGCCTCGTCCAATTTTGACACAGCATCTAAATTTTGTTTATTTATTGTGAACCAAATAAAAAAGTTTTTAGCAGATTGTTTTAATGTAAAATAAAGATCAAAAACAGAATGAAAACTCCTAACAGAAACAACATCATTTTCCCCTATTATAGAGATTTAATAAGCATTAGCAACTGCAACAATACCTTGAAGCATCTTCCTTGATTCCTTGATATCTCCAAATTGGGAGAATTCCAGCAAAGCTCCACCCCATCTTGTTAAATTATGTTATGATATAATATGTCATTTCTGTCTCTAAGATGCAAATGCTTGAGTTTTTTGATGAAGAGAAAAAGGCAATAATTATCACATGTGGTAATTCTTTAACAACAACTAATAATGGATATCAATTGCTAAAGAGTAATCAATGAATTCATTAGTAATCAAAATAATCCAATCATTGTCGAGATATAAAGAAATAATAAAAGATGTAGGATCAATCCACCATGCTGACCATGTTAGTATAATTGTATTCTAAAATTTGGCACCAACAGCTTCTGCAGAAGCAAGTCGTTATCAAGAAAACAACATATTTTGGAGAACTTGTTCCAAAAATTAAACCCTAAATTAAACCCTAAAACCCAAAATCAAGAACTTGTTYCAAAAATTARGAMTCGTACCAGGGCGAGAGCKAGAGATGCAGCAAAASAACACATGTTTCCTYACTTTGCAAGATTTGAGTAGGAAATTCTTTCTATGCAGTCCTTCTCTTGCATTTTCCAAAAAGACTGTTGTTATGACTCAAGCTCTACCCCATGATATTGTCAAAAAGTGAGGAAACATGTGTTGAGAAGGAAAGTAGGCAAGCATAAGAAGTTATAACAGACTATTAACCAAACATATTAAGGCAATAATTCTTTAAAAAGAAGTATTATACAAAAAGGGTTCCTGGGAATACAATCATTTAAAAGTGATATGATATATAAGGAACTGTGAAATTGAAGATAAAAAGAGTTCAAAAACGGCGTCTTGATCTCTATAATTGGAACTTACAACAAGCACATCTGAAACTTGTTCCAGATAATTTGTCAAGTTTGAAACCGCGTTTGTCATATCACACTTTGTCACATACATGAGGTCTGAAAATGAAACACCCTAAAAGACAATGTAAGACAAAGTCAATCTTCAAAAATTCATGTTGAGAAAAGATTTCAAAAACAAATTGAAACCATTTGTGTGTGTGAGTTGGTGCGACAGATAAAAGGGCATCTGAGATTATCTAATATGCAAGACCAAGTGTACAACAATTCAAAGTAATAAATTTTGTTGATCTGCAAAAACTTTGAAGGAGCAGCAGCAAGTCAAAACTAATCACACCTTCCACCACATGTGTCCATAACCCATAGCCTCCAATGCAACAGCTGGTACCAGCAGAGATGTTACATTATCTATATCGATGTAAATTTGAGATTACAGAAACATAAATTAGAAATTCGACCAAAAAGTATCTGAAAATTGCTTAAAAGATGATCCATCAAGAAAGAGACTGCATGATACAAAATTTGGATCATGAAGTAAGTCACTTAATGCATTGGAAGAAGGCATGAAAAATTACATAAAACATACCACCAAAACCTCCATTTAAAATTGTGATCCGACGTGCAGAAGCAGTTGTCGAAATTCTGTTACTAACTACCGAACCTGTTTTTTTGGTAGCATGAAAGTCAATCGCCACATACTTGTAAACAAAGTCATCCATCTTGAGATCAAATATAACTTCAATAAAGAAAAATGTAGAAAGGAAAAACAATAATGATAATGGTGGTAGCAGAAGATCACCAAATTCACCTATTAACTCTATTCTACAACTTCATTTTATGGATCATATAAAATTTCTTTACTTACTTCTTACACATATTTAATCAAACAAAAGATCAAATTCTAACCAATTCTTTGAATCAAACAACACCAACAATAGCAACAACAAATAGTTTATGGGTTAAAATATCCTAAATTGGACAAGGCTAAGGYATACCAKAAAAGTATTGAAAAWTAAAAAAAACCAAAGTTGATTAATGTAAACAGAGTCCGGCATAGCGGATTAGTACTGATCAAGAAATCAAAAACCTAAAACAAAATTTTGGTCATCAAKAATTYYAACATGCAATGATAACTATGATTGAAACAACCACCTTTGCATTTTAAGTAGAAGAAGAGTATTGTATAAATGAATAGAACAAATCATGTTATGTCAATTYAGGTTTAACACCAAGTTCCGTTAAYGACATAGGAGCTAAAGCTGAAATATATACAACTAGGATGGTGAGGCGACAACGAGAGGATGAGGATGAGATGGAGAGCGACGGCCAGAGGAGGAGGCGACGACAAGCGATGGCCAGGGAGGAGGCGACGATAAACAACGACCAACGAAGTAGAGAGACGAAGAGGYGAAATGATTTTAGGGCACCGTTCTCTATTTGGATTTCTAGGAACATTTCTACTTATAATTCTGATTTACTTGTTCTTAAAATGTTTTTTTATTCTTTTACATACGCTTTACAAAGCGTTAATAAAACTTTTTATTGAATTTTTATTTTCTTTTAAATAATCTAGCTTTTAGAGATGCTTGCCAAAACATCACTAAAGTTTTGTGTGTGACCATATGAGAGGTTTTCAAAAAAGGCGTCTCTAAATGTTTAGAGAAGTTTATTGTAGGGTATAATTTGGTTCAAAATCTTTCTCTGAAATTTATAATACTTTTAAATTACAKATTTCATTTTTGTTGATCAATTCCTTCTCTAAAAGACATCTTTAGATACACTTTTAAATTCTTCTCAAAAAGTTCCTTCTCTAAAACTCATTTTTCTTGTAGTATATATATATATATATATATACACACACACACATGCATGAGTATGGATGCATGGGTTGTGTGTATGTGTGAGTACAACCGACCTTTCCTTTTAGGAAGGGGTATAAAAGGAGGGTAAGACCTCCATTTTCCTTCTTCTTGTCATTTTGAGAATTTGAGCAATTTAAAAAGTGAAGTCTTGACCGGATTATTCCACTACTAAAAAAAAGGGCATCACCGACGGATTTTTCTGGCGGAAATTCCGTCGGAAATATTACCGATGGATTACCGACGGATTTCCGACGGATACCAAAAAAGTCAAAAAAAGTCAACTTTTATCCATATCCGCCACAGATCCCCCACAAATCCCCCACTGAATTTTTCGGGAAAAAAATTAAAATTATTTAAAACGGGTTTTCAACGGATTTGTGACGGATTTCTGACGGATTTTTTTACTTATTCTAAACCGTCACAAATCCGTCGGAAATCCATCGCAAAATTTGTCTAATTTGTTTAAATCAATTAATTAGTGTTAATTAAAAACAATTTCCGACGGATTTCCGACGGAATTTTATTTTTTTTTTTAAATAAATTCCGTCGGAAATCCGTCGGAAATGTTAAAAATGTTTTTTTAATTATTTTTCTAACAAAGGTATATATATATATATATATATATATATATATATATATATTTATTTATAAAAAAAAAAGACTTTCAAGGTGAGTGATTCTTATTACTTTTAAACTCATCAGAATTGTATAATTGATTGTAGAACTTTACTTTTGATATAAAAGTTATCCGCTGGAGTGTTGTCCGGATTAGCCCTAAATCGGACAAGTGTTAAGCGGTTTAGCCATAAACCGGACAAGGGTTAAGCGGTTTAGCCATAAACCGGACAAGGGTTGGACGATTTAAACCCTAAACCGGTTAAGGCTTAAGCGATTTATAAATAAACCGCTTAATAAGTGTTGTCCGGATTGGACTTAAATCGATCAAAAGTCAAGCGGTTTAGTCTTAAACCGGACAAGTGTTGAGCGATTTATGATCATTGAGTTTATATCAAGTATTTTGAACGAAGAAGTAGGAATACGACTATAAGGTAGTCGGTTTATTTTAAATCGGACAAAGCATTGAGAAGAGCTGTCCGGATTAGTAAATCGGACAAGGGTCTTGTGTTGACCGGATTAGTAAATCGGACAAGGGTCTTGTGTTGACCGGATTAGTAAATCGGCCAAGGCTTGACCAGAGATGAAGTCCGGCCAAGTTTGTGTTGATCGGATTTGTGCCTTAACTTATATATTATTTATACAATTGTCATTTTTACTATTCTTGTATAAAGAATGAGAATTTTGATAAAGAATGATTTTGAAATGATAATATTCCATTAAAACATTTATGACTACGGTCGGTCCTAATTGGAAGTGTTTTGTGAAAAATGTTTCGACGAGAAAATAAGGGTGGCATATCAAGGAGAGGTGTACCTTGGGATAAGGGTGGTATATCAATGAGAGGTGTACCATGGGATAAGGGTGACATATTAAGGAGAGGTGTACCTTTGGTTATAAGGGTGACATTTGTATGTGTGTTATGTGATATAACTCTTACTATTATATCTTTTAAAATTATCGTGGTGTGGAATCTTTATTTCTTTGTGATTTAAAGGTTTAAGATTGGGGTTTTTATTGGAAATCGTAGTCTGGATGTTATTGAGGAAAAAATAGCAGGTTTGGCCTGAAACTTTAAATAAACATTGTTTAATTGAAAAGGGTAAAAGTTGCATTATATGAAACCTGGTTGGTTCAAACCTATAAAGGTTTGGAGTATATTATTTGAATAGCTGAATGTTTGGCTTGAAAAGTGGAAATGTGCTGATATTATGGTCTTATTTATTCATATATTTGTTACATATATGAAAAGTTGTTTTACTTAAAAGTTTTGATGATCTTCACCCTGCAATAAACATAAATAGGGTAACTCACTAGACCTTTTGGTCTAACCCTCGTTTTGTGATTTTAAATATGTATTGCAGGAAATGCTGAAGGTAAGGGGAAAGGGAAAATGTGATAATTTCCCTATATGTTTACCTGCATGAGGATTGGATGATGATATGTATAGTTTTGATAGATGGTCATTGATTAGTACAATAATTTGTATTTTGAATTTTTGGACCATGTATTTCATATTGGTAGAATCTTGTATTAAGGGACCTGAATGATGTATAAACATATATTTCATGTATGAAGTATGTGTTACATGCAATGTATGGTATGGGGTGTTACAACGACGACATATAAATGATAAACTTTTTAATTTAAACAAGATATATTTAAAAAAAATTAGAATATCAGGGACTAATATCGTCGATATGTCATCGTTATTGACTCAAAAAAATAATACAACCCAAAAAACGGTGTTTCTTTTATATGGCCCATTTC